CTCCGCATTCAGTTGATTAATCTGTGAGCCACTCTACTCGACCTACATAAGAAAGGTAAGCCAATATATATGGGAATACGGAATAAAATTCGAGCACGAGCAAGGCAAAATACCTGAGCAGCAAGATTGGCCTTCTCTCGGAGCATCATTTCCAAAGTTGTCCGAAGTTCTCCCAGTTCTTTCCCTCCCCGGGCAGGACGAGCCTCCGAATCCCATAGCTTCGAGGTCACTTCCTTACACTCCTTTTCGTGATAAGAAAGCTTCTTGCGGAGCCGAAGGATGGCATGATCGTACATCTCCTTGCACTACGGCATAGCAGAAAAGTTAGAAAGATGAAGAATGACGTTCGAGGGCGAAAGAAATGCACAAGAAATGGCTATCACCTATTGCATGAGCTTCTCCACCGCTTTGACGGCACCGGGAATATCAAGATCGGCACTATCACTAACACCATCAAAGATGTTGGCAATAGAGCTTCCCCCTTGGAGAGGAATCCCCGCTTTGGCGCTGATCATCCCTTGAGCATCCCGCAATTCCCCTGACGAGACTAGGAAGCACGAAAGGAAGTCATTCAGATCACCAACTTCTCCAAGTGGAAACCCACGTTCCTGAAAGGCTCCGATCCTTGACCCTTCAAGATCAACGGCAGCTGTCCCCCGGGGCGAAAATTGCATCGAATCCATCTGTGCAATTTGAAGCTACATCAACATCTTCTTCGAGGGTCCCCAGCTCACAGGGCCGCCTGGAGCCAATCGTTCCGAACTCAGCAGCCTCTGTCTGAGGCTCCTGCGAGGCTCTCGCACTCGACTTTGTTCTCCGCTCTAACGGGAATTCTTCATCATCCTCTCCCTCGGTGTCAGGATTCGCCTCTAAGGTTGAAGCAGTAGTTCCAGCAGCGGCTCGATGCTTGAGTGACCTGGTTTTCTTTGTCGTAGGATGGACAGCAGCTGCCCTGCTTTTCCTCTTCTTACTCGTGTCGGGATCCAAAGCCCCTACTTCGCCACTAGGGGGCGGCCTCATCTGCATATTCTCGCCAAGACCTTTACCAGCGCAGTAACCGCAAGACGATTTCACTAAGGGCTCAAAAAGAAACACGAAGTACAAGGCGTAGGTGGTAAAGGAACCTCACCATGATTCCTAGCCACCCAATGCTTATTGGCCAGGCCGGTCCAAGACGGAAAACGATATGGGAACTTCTCGTCCAACCGCTTGATCCATCCCGACAAATCTGGAACCGCCTCCGGGTACCAAGCAGCAACTGCAGGAAGCACAAAGAGATCATTATTTTGAAAGGAAGAATGGTTGAAAAGCGGCTAAGGGAAAAATTGCTTACGTCGGAAATTCCACCTCTCCGGAAAGGGCATCCTCTGGGCCGGGATGATGTCCGAGGTCTTTACCCGGATAAACCTGCTCATCCATCCTCGATCCTTTCCCTCGTCGATGCTCGAGAAAAAAAAATTGGACCGATGGCGGAGCCTGATTAAACCTCGATAAAATCAAGGACTGTACATCCTGATTAGATGATTGAGGGTAAAGATCTCACCCTCAACCCCTTCGGGGAAATGGCGAAGCAGCAACACTATCCTCCAAAAAGAAGGGTAAATCTGACCAAGCATCACCTGGTATCGGTCGCAGAAGTCAAGGATAACCGGGTCTATCTCCAGAGGAGAGGACTCGGTAGAATTATCGGGACCCAGGGTGAATGGGTAAGTGTACACGTGAAGGAAGACAGCCTTATGGTCCGTTATATTATCGTTGGGACCGGGAATCTCCACCCCCACTGCCTCGCTCCATCAGCAGTCCGTCCTCACCTTGTTAATATCGGTCACAACGCTAATGTATCGAGACACACGCTCGCACCGGCCCAGTGTAGATGAAGTGGCATCGACGCTAAAATCCCCTGACATATCGAGATCAGGTGGGGTACATTGTTCCAAAGAGGGAATCGCTCTAGTTTCCTCCTTAGGCGATCGGGATGATGATGTAGCGTCGTCCCACCGGGGAACCGTCCTAGAAGTCCTAGCCATGTCAATGGTAAGAATTCTTCTATTAAAAGATGAAAGAGTGTCAAAGACAAAAGATTCTGACTCGTGAGCTTGGAAATGGGGTGAAAGTGGGAAGTGTCAAGCAACCGATGCATTTATAGGAACCGCTTGGGGAGCGGAAAGGACGAGCCAATGGCAGTTCGTGGGGTTTCTCGATTATCGCATCTGACGGCGGCCTTGCACAGTTATCTGGAACATGGCATTTAATGCTCTTAAACGGTTGATGTCACGGCAATGATGGCCTCGAGACGACGGTTCAAAATTGTTTCCTATTACTTCGTTCTAGAAAACGCGGAGACTATCTGTGTACGGTGAAATCGGAGGGACCGATTTCTCGCCACTAAGGTGCGTTCGGGGAGTCATATTGGTATCTCGAGGCTGTAGGGTTACGGTTAATCTCCCTCCCCCGAGGTTCACTCACAACCCAACAAAGATTCCGAGGGTGGGGAACTCCCGAGGCAAGCAACTAGCATTAGCAGAGTCTAGTATCGTGCCTAGTCGTCCCATCCCCATGTCTTTACATTTAATGCATTATGTACTATATTGTATTCTCCCTCCTATATAAAGGGAATCCACACCACTTTGTAAAGGGTTGTTGTTGCTCCAACTATTCTACAAGATCAATAATATTTCTCTCTCTTTTTTCTCTCTAACCCATTTGCCCGAGGCTACTCTTTGCATATATTGCTTTCATATTTGTTCTTCATTTATTGTTTGGTATTGGACATAAAGAGCCTTCTTTAATTATATTCTAGTTGGTATCCCTTTCCCGGTTACCCCTGATAGCTCGAGCTCGAGCCGGATATCGACCCCGAGGCCATTCATCGACCATTCCGAAGCTCGGACAGTAAGCCCCTCGGTTTGATTACTGCCTCGTTTTAACTTGCATCTCATCGTTGAACTTCATACTCCTAGCATCAGCTGCTCTAACGACTAGCATAAAAATAGATCACGTATTTTTAGAGTCTCATTTACAAATTTGATTGTTGTTATCATTTTCACGGTAAACAAGTTTCTATGGAGCTTTAGATTTTTATAATTGCAGAAATACTTCACCTTCTTTTGGATAATCACTAATTAGAGTCCGTGTATTTGATAAATTCAATAAGGTCTGATTAGATATGTGGTGAAATGGAGAAACAAAATGGTGAACGTGGTGAAATTAAGAAGACGAGTGGGAGTTGCCAGGAAAGTTTTTTCCACATGTCATTTGTTAATTGGCCACATTACTGCGTTTGAGACTCACGCACCACCTTTCTATCGGGAATTGTCATTTAGGTGTTTAATAGACACATTTTCAAACAACATTAGATGTTAAATAGGTCATTCCTTAAAATAAGGGGTCTAAATGAAAAAAGAATGGCCAAGTTTACGGGGCCATATATGTATTTGACCTAGAAAGTAATACTACATTGGTTATATTATCTAAAAGAAACAAGTTTATCCACATCTTAATAACACAGCAAGATCATTGGAACATAATTAGCTATCCATAAGTTAATTTCCCACACGTAACATATTTTCCTTTCTACCGTTTTAAAGATATCATTCACTATTTTGTTTGTTTAACCATTTGATATCCGCAACTTAGTGGACGGGGTATCCTTAATTTTTGTCCCCATTTTAAAGTTTTGCAACTATGTATCATGTATTAAAGCTTGTCCTCCTTCTCATTCTTGTTCTTCTAATACTAATAAATTATGAGCACACAATTAAAATCAGAAAAGAATAATTTATGTATTGCACAATTGAAGACTCGTTGCTTATTTGTGATTGGAATTAACTGAGTAATGTTCCATTCAACTTTTATTGACTATCCCAAATAATCTGGATTGATTTGGTTGACGAAAAATTAAACAACATTATTATTGGATTCTGTTGAGTATAAAAAAAAACCCACAAAGCGTGTATTGACTTTTGAAAGTTCAGGTTGAATCTAACCACTATAATTGGAATTTTTATTAGACGTTTGATAGCAAATTTGGAATTGATTCAGACCACAATGGATTAACTTTGAAGTGAAAATAGGTTAATAAAATTTCTACACATGCAAGTTATGACAATCCCGTTAGAATTGCTGAACAAGTTTTACAAAAATTATGACCCAATTTGTACTATAGTCATGAGGATCTGTTAGTCCCAATAGGCACCCTACTGAAATTATGAGAACAATCAATTATTTCCAACTAGCAGAGCCATACCACCACAGACGCCAGTATTTTTAGAGAGCAATTTTAATAGAAATCAAGCAAAATACAATGTTCAAAGAAAAAACAGACAAATCTCTCAGGTATAGATCTCAGAGCCATAAATATACATAATGTGCATACCAGCAATTGAATCTGTTCTCCGGATCTCTGAACTGAAGCAGCCTCCAATTGAAGAATTTTAGGGGCATCCTTTTTATTCTGCATTTGTCGTTGAAAATAAAAATTTGTAATCACCGTCCATTACTATTTATGTAGTCTTCTTCTATTCCAACAAAGTAGCAGCTCCTTAGGAGATTCTGGCTTGCACCATTTAACTTCAAGCAAATTCAAAAACATGTGTCAAATCTTATTTGTGATTCTGCAGTGGGTCAAATTTGAGCAAAAGTTAAAATGGATTCGGTCAATAAACGGGTTTGACCGAACTGCCAAAAATCTACTTCGGCTAAGAAGGCTTGGATCCAGATGGGCTAAAGAATGGGTCATAGCTCAACCCGCCCAACTTGACCCAAGAGAAATTGCAGAAGCTGAAACCCTGAAGTCATCATTTTGAGGTGAGAGGAAAAGTGACTGGAGATAGGAAAACGACATCACATGTGCAAAAACCTTAAAAGATTACAAGCAACTCCTCTTATGAATAAACTGGTGCTTTGGAAGTTCTTCAAACAAAAGCCAACAGATTCAGATTTTTTTTGTTCTTCTGTATGTCAACAAGTGAAAGCACAAATACAAACAAATACATGGAGAATACAATTAAATCTTTCATGACCAGTTGATGAAAGACTCTAAACAATCAAACAAGAATAACGATTATCTTGTTCCAACATTGATGAAAATCTTTCAAAGTTTTAGACCTCCATGCTCAATGAACTTAAACATAAGCTCAAATATACTTTTGTACAGAAATTTCAAAACTGCTCCAATCGGGTAATATATGAAGTAGCCCTAAAAAGAACTAAGACAAAAAAGTAATAAATGAATCCTCACATACAGGTCATCTTTGACTACTGTTCACTACCAATAGGCACACCGATGACAAAATTCTTACTACACTGCTCACTAACAGCATTCAACATGTATGCCAGTGAGACCAAGAGTAAAGGCACCAAATTCACATGAGTTAAATATTTGCCCATGTCAGCTTGTTTGCATTATGCATTCTGCATTCCACCACTATTCTCCATTACGTAATCTTGTCAAGAAGACAAATATTAAGAACAGGATTACACTGCTTGATAATAAAAAGTCGAACCTGAATTAACAGCATTCACAGAAAACGCAACTTCGAGCTCAACCTTTCCAACGCCCAGGAAACACGAAATCGCACAACTGCACACAAATGATCAAATAGGTATCTAGTTTTCTCATTAGTCATAAAGTCTAAAACTTGAATTCCCCCATCCATCTTTCCATCATAGCAGAAAGAGTAAATAGAACTCAAATCCACCTCAAACTGCTACAAATAAATCCTCTTCTCAGTGGAGCTGCGAATGTGCTGGAGTTAAATAAAAACAATGCCAGGAAAAATTGGCAAAGAATTGGCTAAGTCAAATAAATGGCAGCTAATAAAAGTTTTGATTAGATGCCTTACGGTGAGATCGGATTCTCCTTAAAAAGAATAAAAGGAGTATAAATGCCCAACCAGCAAGAAGACACTTGCATGCCAATATCAGGCTTTGACCTTTCTGGGGAAGAACAGGGTACAGAATTGATCTGCAGTTTGCATTAGTATAAGAAGTTAACATAGCTGGCCAAGTTTTGAGAAAAACTCTATGCGTATTGGACTTTCAAAATTAAGGGATGTATATTGGACAATGAAAAGAAATTCTACCATACTAATATCAAAAGCAGCAAGACAAAAGTGGACCACTTTCTTTCATAATTTGGTGATACAGTAGCTCAGTAATACTTCACATGAGCAAAATATTAGGAGGCTATAACTCATACTCACATAGCTCTTTGTTTTGTTCATCTAAGATTCTTAATGTTTCGTATATCATTCTTCGCTGTGGATGAGAATAGTCACCAGCAGCAAATACGTTTTTCTTCTGTTCCACTTCAATCCAACTGCAACCAACTGGCTTTTTAAGATCTCTCGTTTTCATAGACTTCCTTATCTCTAGGACATCATCCCATCTTGCATTCGCAGCATACAGATTTGACATAACTATATAATTCCCAATATCATTAGCATTGACTTGAAGCAGGTGACCTGCCACAGTACGGCCTATATCAACCTCCTGATGGGTTTTACAGGCACCCAGAAGTGTTCCCCATATATTGGCGTCGGCTTTAAAGGGCATCCGGGTCACAAAGGAAAATGCATCTTTAATTCTGCCTCCACGTGCAAGTAGATCCACCACGCACGCATAATGCTCCATGCTAGGTTTGACTTGATGCGTCTTTTCCATTGAATCAAAGATCTTCAACCCTTCATCCACAAGGCCAGCATGACTACAAGCAGATAGCACTGTAGTTATTATAACATGATCTGGTTTGAAGTCCAGCTCAAGCATATGATAGAATATCCCAAGTGCTTCTTCTCCCATTCCATGCATAGCATACCCTCCAACCATTGCTGTAAATATAACAAGATCTTTGGCAGGAGATGATTGGAAAAGCTTGTATGCATATCCTAGAGTAGCACATTTCGAATATACATCTATGAGAGCTCCAACCAGATAAACGTCATCAAGGAAAGACCTAATCACATATGCATGACACTGCTTCAGCAGGTTGCTTGAGGCCGTTTGACCGCAAACAGGAAGGAGGCTCAAAATGGTCATGGCATCAGGCCTCATTTTGTGATGCTGTAACTCAGTGAACAGACTCACTGCTTGATCAGGACAATCATTTTCAGCATAAGCTCTAACCATCAGATTCCACGTGGTAAGATCCCTCTCGGTCATCCTCTTGAATATACCATGTGCGTCTTCATGTAAACCATAATTCACAAACCCTGATATCATCGAGTTGCACGTGACTACATTCTTGTTTCCTGATAAACTCTCAAATATTCTGTTAGCATAGTTCAAATTGCAACACTTTGCATATGCATCAAGTAAGGCATTAACGAGAGTAGGTTCAGTATCACTTAGCAAGATACCAGATCTTATTGAAAAACCATGTGCTTCTTTGACCTTATCCATTCTGGAAATGTTAGCAAAATAGCGCACCACAGCCAATAATGTGATGGAGTCAGCTTCCATCCCCTCTACAAACATCACCTTTAACAAGTTAATAAATTCTTCGTGAAGTTGGGTTTCTGCTAAGGCATCAAGCATAGTGTTCCATGATATCACGTCTTTGTTAGAAGTCAACGAAAATGTGTGAAACGCCTCTTTGATGTTTCCACATTTTGTATAAAAGCTTGTAAGGGCATTAATCACCGAGGTATCTTGATGGAGGAAACGGTGACGAATTACATAGCCATGGATCTGCTTCCCAATCAACACGTTATTGAGCTGTGGACATGCAGGAAGAATGCTCACAAGAGTAACAGAGTCTGGTCCACTCATCTTCTCTTTAGTGAATTCACGGAAAAAATCCAGTGTCTTCAACCATTTACCACTCGCTGCACATCCAGCAATTATTGAGTTCCAAGATACCAGATCTTTACTTTTCATATTCCGGAACAAAAACTCTGCTCCTTCAAAATTTCCAACCCTCAAGTAGCAGCTCAAAAGAGCATTGATGACGGTAACTTCTGATAGCAGATCAGCCCGTCGAAAAACATAACAATGTATCTGCCTTCCCAAGTGGTAACCAGCTATCCCTTCTAAACTAGGACAGATAGGAAGAATATTTGCAATAGTTGCATAATTAGGTAGAATGGAAGCTCTCAACATCAACCTGAACAATTCAAAAGCCCTGTCCGTAAGCTTATTCTCGATGAAACCTGCAATCATTGCATTCCATGAAACAACATCTTTGTCAGAAATTCCATGAAAAATAGCAGCTGCATCTGAAATATTCCCTGATTTTGCATACATGGATAAGAAAGCATTTCCTACCAGTGTTTTACAATCCAATCCGTGCTTTATCGCATAACAATGAACACTTTTTCCAGCAACCAAAGCTCCAGCACGGGCAAGCACAGGAATAACAATAGCAATAGTGACAGAACTTGGCTTAGGATAATGCGCTCTTTGCATTGAATTGAACAGCCTTATCATCTCTGTTTCATGAAACCGCGAACCAGCAAAGCCAGACAACACAATATTCCATGTCACTGTGTCACTGTATTTAATCTGGCTGAAAAGCTTTTGACATTCATCAAGATCTTTACATTTAGCATACATATTAAGCAAAGCCTTTGTAACAAATTGACAAGAATGATGGCCTAACTTAATGACAGAACTATGCAAAGCTTTCCCCAATATTCTATCTGATATGGCAGCACAAGATTTGAGAACATTTGCCAAGACTTGGTAATCAGCAACTGTTGGATTTTGGATTTTTTGGATAATGCCAGATAGTACTTCATTCTTCATGCTAAAAGATTCCAGTAGTAATTCTTTAGTCAATGCATATCGACTTTCATAATCCAAAACATACTCTCATTCTTCACGGAGTTACTGAATTATTCCAAGAATCAACTTTAACACTCCAACTGTACTTTCCCATAGGGCCTGTGATAATTCAGTCAATTCAGCGACAAAATTGTAAGTCTGCAGGAAGTACAAAACATAGAGAGACTTGTTAGCAAAATCGGAAGAATCAAGAAAACTAACCGAAGACCATATTAAAGGATATATGATGTATCTGTTATACATATGTTGGTTATTAGATAAGTACTTGGAGTCCAAATGAATCACAAATACTTCCTGTGTGTTTGCTCTATATATATGCTGATACTGGGCAATGAATTAATGAAGTGTTCTGCCAATTTTTATCTTCTCAGATAGTTATAGGCATCAAGGTACTAAGGTGTTGTCACGACCCGAAATTCCTACCTTCGGGACCGTGATGGCGCCTAACATTTTACTTGCTAGGCAAGCCAACATTAGAGGATCTTTAAGCCAATTTAATCAATTTCAATAAGTAAAATCAATTAAGCCAAAATGAAACTAAAATTGAGTGCGGAATGACATAAAAACCAATAATATCTAAGTACAACCCTGATACGTAGGCACAATTCACGAGCTTCTAGAGCTTCTACATACAGAATTTGAAATAAGCACAACTGTCTCGAATGATAAGAACATCAAATAGGGGGAAAGTGGAAGGGGACTTCAAGGTCTGCGGACGCCAGCAGATCTACCTCGAGTCTCCAAAAGCAAATCCGAGCTGAAACGCCTCACGGACAGTTGGGACCAGTACCAAAATCTGCACAAGAAGTGTAGAGTCTAGTATGAGTACAACCGACCCAATATACTCCATAAGTGTCGAGCCTAACCTCAACGAGGTAGTGACGAGGTTATGACAGGACGCTCACGTAAATAAACCTGTACAGACGGAAATATAGGAGCAACATAACAACAAACAAAGAATTAACAAGTACTATTGGGAGGGGACATGCGAAAGGGGTGTAAGAGAGCAAACTAAACCATAGATACGAAAGTTTCCCTACAAAGGGGCTGGCTTCAACAACCCATAAGGGACGGCTTGCCAAGCTACACAAACGGTTAATTTGCTTATAGTCGCAAAAGTTTTCCTACAAAGGGACTGGCTTCAACAACCTATAAGGGACGATAATAACAATAGGGAATGATAATAAGAGACAGTCAATAAGCCTTTAACCAACACGATGAACAAACATAATGAATAAAACTGCACGGCATCACCCTTCGTGCTTTTACTCTCAACCTCGCCATGGAACAGTAATAATGGCACGGCATCACCCTTCGGGCATTAACTCACAAATATGGCACGGTATCACCCTTTGTGCATTAACACTCAATCATGGCACGGCATCACCCTTCGTGCATTAACTCTCAAATATGGCACGGCATCACCCTTCGTACGTTAACTCTCAAATATGGCACGGCATCATCCTTCGTGCATTAACACTCTCCCTTACCATACAACAATGAACATATAACAAAAGGGAGATAAAATAAGCAAGAACAGGCCTTACATCAACAGTGGTTCCATAATACCAACCTCAACTTCGGAAACAATACTCAATTATCATAGGTAGCTCATAAATGCAAAAAAAAACGATCAATTTAGTAATTAACTAGTCTAAGCATGGATATCATGATCAAAGAAAGGAATAAATTACAAGAAACAAGATCCACCTGCATGCTTTAACCCAACAACAACGCATAAGTAGTCGTCACCTCACATATATGTTGTACCCAACAATTAGACATGTAGCAAATAGACAAACAAGTCCTAATCCTTCAAGTCAAGGCTAACCACGATACTTACCTCGCTCCAAAGACCAACTCAAAGCTCGACCACGGCTTTGCCTTACGAACAAGCCTCCGAACCAACCAAATCTAGCAAATTATCAACCAAACGATTCAAAATAAGCCTTACGAACTACCCACGAATGAAAAAGGTTCAATTTAGGTCATTATTGAAAAAGTCACTAAAAGACAACTCTCGGGCCCGCTTGGTCCAAACTTGAAATTCGGACCAAAACCAGATTACCCATTCACCCCCGAGTCCGGTTATTTAATTTGTTTTGAAATCCGACCTCAATTTGAGGTCCAATTCCAATTTTACAAAAATCCCTAATTCTTCCCAAACCCCCAATTTCCACCATGAAAATCCTAAATTTTAGGTTGAAATCTTATGAAATGTAATGGAAGATTGAAAGAAAATAGGTTAGAATCACTTACCAATGAATTGAGTAAGAAGGGATCTTGAGAAAATCGCCTCTAGGGTTCTTTAGGTTTGAAATTTGAGAGAATGAACCAAAATCCCGTTTTTCCCATCTTAAGTCCAGGTGCAGATGTCGCAATTGCGACCTGGGGTTCGCAATTGCAAACCCCGCAAATGCGAAAAATCTTTCACAAATGCGAAGTCTTCACACTTCTGCTGCCATCGCAATTGCGATGGTTTGTTCGCAAATGCGAACTTGGACTCCTCGGAATTGCGCCCATATTGATCGCAATTGCGAATTCTGTTAGACACAGCCCCACTTCATTTTCTCCGCAATTGCGATCATGACAGGCTTCGCTTTTGCGAACACTGACCTCGCAATTGCGAGGTCAGAGGCCTGCACCAGAATTGAAGCACACCAGCATTGATTCTAAGTCCAAACTCACACTGTAGCCTATCTGAAACTCACCCAAACCCTCGGGGCTCTAAACCAAGCATGCATACAAGTCCAAAAACATCATATGAACTTGCTCGCGCGATCAAATCGCCAAACTATCACATAGAACTATGAATCGGACACCAAAATCAAATGAAATTTTCAAGAAAACTTTAGAACTTCTATTTCAACCACCGGATGTCCGAATCATGTCAAACCAACTCCATTTTTAAACAAATTTGACAGATAAGTCATAAATATAGTAATGGACCTATACCGGGTTCCGGAACCAAAATACTGACTCGGTATCAACAAAGTCAAACATTGGTCAAACCTTCCAAGTCATTAAGCCTTTTACTATCAAATTTCGACAAAAAGCGATAACTCGAGCTAGGTACCTCCGAATTCGATTCCGAGCATACGCCCAAGTCCCAAATCACGATACGGAACCACCGGGACCGTGAAAATACGGATCCGAGTTCGTTTGCTCAAAACGTTGACTAAGTCTACTCAAATGAATTTTTAAGGCAGAATTTCATATTTTATCACTTTCCGGAAAACACCCAGACTGCGCGCGCAAATCGAAAAAGGCTTAAAGAAGCTATTGGAGGCTTTGAAACACAAATTTAAGGTTTAAACTCTAGATGACTAATTGGGTCATAGGTGTATGCACCTTCACCGATGAGTTTTGTTTTTGGGGCTCAACATCATATATATATATATAGAGCTTATTTATAATTTGTCCATTCTTTTGTTCAAATAATCATTGTTTGCATATCTAGTTTCATTTTCTTGCATTACATATCTATTTTTTTTATTTTTCTTCAGTGGCGATTTTCTTCGCTATAGCCCACACTTTAATTGTGTGTTGCGCTAAAAGCGAGGAAGTGTTACTTGTATGGATTCGAGTAGAGAAATATGCTTGGATCTTGAGGAAAGGTTTAGACAAGGCAATGCTCCAAGAATTCATCAAATTAAGTGTGAACTTGCACCGCTAAACCAAGAGCGAATGACTATGTTCTTGTGGTGCGGCAGAAGAGCAAATGCAATATCATGAGCATGAGAAATTTCATCAATTTCTTATGGGCTGAGTTTACAGGCTTATGGGTCAATCATAACTTAAATTTTTAACATGGATCATTTGCAAGGGTGGATTCAAGATTTGAACTTTATCGGTTATGGATTCTAGGACAGAATCTCAAGTGCTAGTAACTGGGTTATGAATTTAATTTTCATACATATTTAATGGATTTTTTAACACATATACGTGTTTTGGGCCAAAGCTACTGGGTTCGAAGCCTACACCCACCTCTGATCCTTTGCCAGTCTAGTGCAAAACCGTTGAAAGTCTGATTCGTGAAGAGACACAAAGAATGGTTGCGAGAACGCAAGAACCAATACATGAAGGGGCAACTTTCCATGTAGCAGGCACAAAAGGAAGGAACAGAGGGCAAAACAAGGTACTTTGCACTCACTGAGTCACTGTAACAAAGTGGGTCATGAAAGGGATAATTTTTATGAGCTCAATGGGCAGAGCTGGCCTAGGTGCACGCGCTGCAACATAATGGTCATGAAAATGAGGGTTTCTATAAGATTATAGGGCTATCCGTCAAAGTAGGAAAGAAGGAGGCCAAATCAAGAATGGAACAACAAAGGGAATACTGGTGGCACGGCACTCCATGCTACTATAAGGATGGAGAAAAGAAAAGATGGCAACATTAGTTTGAGTAATGCTGCAGGATCTACTCAAACACAGGTTGATCAACTTCATGTCGTCTTCAAGGAGAAACAAGCACAAAAAACCATGTGTGGTAAGGTTTTCAATTCATATGTGCTAGATTGGGTTTTGGATAGTGGTGCATCACATCACATACACCGCACATTTGAGTCATGCACAATGTGAGAAGGTTAAATGATTCGTTGGCCATTGTTGTCTTGTGACAAATGGTGAGATCTTCTAGGTGAATCTGGTGGGAAGGGTTCATTTTGGGGCTCATATGACTTAGCAATTTGTTGTTAGGTCCAAACTCCAAATGTAATTTTATTTCAATTCGGCAGTTAACAAGTGACACAAAGTGCATGGTAACATATTTCTCTAATCGTTTTGTTATCCAGGACCTCAACACAAAGAAGCTGATTGACAGGGGTAACTTGCGAGGAGGGGTTTACGAATGGGGCTTTCGGAATAAGTGCAGTTGTGAAGAGTCAAGAGAAGGTGAACTTATGGCATGCAAGAATATGGCACAGTTCATATGAAAATATGTCAAAGTTGACTGAAATTCTTGGGCTACAAACTAGTAGTTTTGTTTCTAGGAGCTGTGATATTTGTCACAGGGCTAAGCAAGCTCTTATTTCCTATCCAATAAGTTTCAATAAAGCAAGTGATCCTTTTGACCTTGTCCAAGTGATTTATGGGAAAGATATAGTACACCTTTAACAGTGGGTGCACATTACTTTCTTACTATATAGCAGCAGCATAACTTGTCACAAACCTCAGAAGTTAAAAATTTAAGATGCAACTAGTTATCACCTTCTTGTTGGCAAATTAAATTATTTGATGAGAACAAGACCTGAAATTACATATTGTGTTAACATATTGAGTCAATTGATGCAGGATCCACACCAAGATCATAGGCATGCAGCTATGCGAGTTTTGAGGTACTTGAAATCGAGTCTGTTTCAACGCATACCACTTCCAGCTGATAACAAGTTGATTCTTGAGGGGTTTTCGTGATTCATATGGGCATCATGTGCCATGATTGAAAATCAGTGACCAGTTATTTCATTAACTTGGAAAAGCACCAGTGCTTTGGAAGACTAAGAAACATTCCACTGTGGCAAGGTCTGAGTAAAGAGCGAAGGCAAATGCAACCAGCAAGATAATGCGGTTAAGAAGTTTGTCGGACTGTCTTGGTGAAACCCAGAACCACCCAAAAGTACACAACTAAATTGTGACAATCAAGTTGGTCCTCACAAAGCAACTAAAATGGCCACTCTATAAGAGAGAAGATTCAAATTGGTGTGATCATTGTTGAAGACATAATTAAATAAATAAAAAAAGTATGCTCTCTATAACAGCTTAAACTTTTTTATGAGGTCACACACTTCAACATGGTATTAGAGCAGGCAGAGTTCCTCATTTTGAATCTCACCGCCACCTATTATTAAAAAATTTCACGTGTTTGGCCCATGAAAAAGAATCCGGCCTGCATGTGAGGGGGCGTGTTGAAGACATAATCAAATGAATAAAAGTGTGTCTCTCTAAAAGTTTAAGCTTTTAGATATGATGGTTCACACACTTCATCAATCACTACAAGCTATGTTCCTACTAGAGAGCAAAAGGCAGATATCTTTATTAGGGCCAACAGAAAATTCAATGAATCTCAAGAAAGTTGGGCAAATTGGGGGTGCGGTGTTGTATTAAAGGATATATGTTTTATATATTATAGATAAGACTGAGATAGAGTACAAGTAGAGTAAGGATAAGTTTAGTTGCTTATTAAACAAGTATTTGGAGTCCAAATGAATCAAGAAAATTGGCAATGAATTAAGGAAGTGCTCAGTCAATATTTATCTTCTTCACAATTATTTATCAACTATGGTCTTCGGTTAGTTTCCTTACTTAAGAACCCAATTTCGGTAAAATAATGTAATCCTTTTTTGTAAGAAGATAATGTGAATCAATGAAATGAAAAGAGAGAAGAAAGGGAGAATGAACTTACAGAGAACATGAAGGAGTTCGCACAGGCGCGAAGCAGTGAAAGCTTGTGTGAGAAATGGAGTTTTTTATGTTCATGATATCTTGAGGAGAAAAAATTCAAAATAGTCCTTAATTATGAATATAAAAGTATTTTGGTCCCCTACGTATAGCAATGAACACAAAATATCCATTATATTTGCAAATGTGGACAATTTTGGTCTTATCTTTAACGTAACCCTTCAAATTAAAGGAAAAGCACATTTTAAGTTAAAATTAACGGACCTCTCTAACTAACATTGAGCATAGTTAATCTGAAATTCTTAGAAACGTTTCTCTAATGTAGAAGCTAGGAACCCTAATCAACCACAGGTATATATTTCATCAATGGGTTGTTAAACTGAGTTGGTGTTCACTTTCTCTCGTGAAGCATCATCTTCGAACGTTACTGTAGGTGTGATAATATCATATTATGTTACTCATAGAAAACACCAAATTCAGATTATTTTAGAACCCTTAATTGACAAAGGTGACAGCATACTCTCATCATGTACACACGAGATCCATATATACCTAGCCAATCAATTTAAGATTGGATAGACCAACAAACGCATGCACTTGCTTAGACTCTTAGAGAATTGATTTGTAAGTTTCTCCAAACAGAATTACAAACATATGCATAAGAAGAAAAATAAAGATATATTTTCACTATACATTTACTTTTACTCGATCTATAGAATAGCCTTTTATTTTCTAACTCATGTCCCAACTATGGATAGGTATCATTTACTGGTCAATAGACTCACTCCTTACTTTTATGTTTTCACAAATATAATGTTAGTTCTGGAGACAATAAGTGCGTCATAGTTTTACCTTCCTTTTCTTGTCTAAGATTAATTATAGTATTTAAACATTTTGTTGGGCGTGGTGATTTAGCCTATGTTTGTTATAAAGGAAAATAAATGGCATTCTTACTTATTTATGATTTTTGGTTAGTTAGCAGAAAATAATTTTTTGAAAAATATATAATCTAGGCAAATACTATGGAAGACGAAATAGGTGGCGGAGGGGAGGGGAAGGAGCAGGCCAGTCGGAGTTTGGGATAGGGTTCGGGGTCAGGTCAGGATAAGGTCGAGATTAATAATAAGGGGTCGAGTGTCGGTGTTCGAAGTCGAGGGTCAAAGGTACGACCTCGGCCCCTAGACCCCAAACATCGATCTTGACCGCGGACCTCGACCTTGATCTCAAACTCGAACCATGACACCAACCTCGACCCTAGAATAGACCCTGAAACCAGATCTTGACCCCAAACCTCGACCTTAAACCCCAACACTAAACCTTGACTTTGAACCCAAACCATGACTCTTGATCCCAATCCCGACCTTGGCCATGAATCTCGACCACAAACCTCGATCCTAACTCGACTCCCGAATTCGACCTCTGTCTAAACCTCTACACCAGCCCGACTGTGAATCCTAACCACTAACCTTGACCTCGGCCTCGACCCCGACACCTGATTTCGACCTAGATCCTGACCTATGTTCTTGACCTGATCGTGACTGTCACGACCCATTTTTTGAACAAGCCGTGACCGGCACGCGATCACTAAACTTGACCGAGCGAACCATTTGCGCTTATCAAATCTATTATAACTTCAAACTTTATATGCAATAAGATAATACTTTAACCAAATACTTTCAATTAATTTAAATATCTAAAATAAACCAACTCCAAAACTTTATCGTAGTAACCACTGAAATACTACTAAGTTATTATCGAAGACATTAGAATCTTAACACATCAACTGTGTCTATGAAACCTCTATTGATAAACCGATGCACTGCTCAGGACATGAGTTCCTGGCTAATTCTCCAAGTAAATAAAAAAATAACTAAATAAAGATGACTCAAAGGAATACTCCACGAACAAAAGTGGAGCTCACCAATAGCACTGGAAGGGAGCGAAGTCCTAACCAGTAGCCTGCTCGCCTGCAAAACAGGTTCCTACGTTGTACCGCAGACCAACATAGGTTCCCAAAAGAGAACGTCAGTACCATCCATTGTACTCAGTGAGTCTCAACGATAGAGGATGAACTTTAATAAAATATACATTACGAGCAAAGATTCTAAATGCATGGAAAACATAGAGCTTCTAAGAACAATTCTAAAATAATTGCATAATAGCAGTTTATGAATATTCTAAAAGAAATTCTTTTCTTTTTTTTTTCTTAAAGAAAAATAATATATTTCACTTTATACTTCGGGAGTTCCAACTATCCTTACCTATTTCTATCTTAGTCACCGTGTGATCGGCACGGGTTCGAACCCAACCTGATCGAATAGGCCCAATCCACGAGGTGTCACTCGCTTCATGGTTCTCAACGCTCATGTATCATACCTTAGCTTGGCTAAGTAAATTCTCAGCAACGAGATCCTCGGCTCGTGTGCTTCCTACTTTGGCACAAGTAGTTCAGGAAGTCAACACCTTGGTCAGGACCCTCGGCCTGGACGATGACCCCTTCTTAGAATAGAGGATACTCCCACAAATCTTTTTTTCTAAAACTTCTTCTTGTGACTCTTCAAGTCTAAATCTTTTCTAGAACATCCTATACATACTCATACTAGTATCCTTAAATGTAAAGCATGGCATAAGAATGAAATAAACATTAAAAAGTATTTCTAAAGATTCTTGCTTCTTCATGAATTTTCAACATGAAAATTGCATATAAGAATAACATAAAAATCTGAAAATTTATGCACATATATTGATAAGTGGGGATTTTGACGATTTATTAGCGTCTTTTAGCTTTCGTTTTAGTCCAAAAGTATTTAATTGTATTCCCAAAAACTGATGAAATATGCGTAATTGTAGGAGTATTGGAAAATGAGCCACTAAGATGAAATCCAACTCAAAAAGGAGTAATTTGAACTCAAGGACAAAATCAAGCACAAAAGCTCAAGTGCGGACCGCAAATTTCCATCTGTGGCCGTAAAATGTGAAGGAAATTACCAGAATCCTAGTGCAAATTGCGTACCATACAATTATTGTGCGGCCGCAGAAGCTATGCAAGAACTAAAGTTCAGAGAGTCTCATTTCAAGCTCAAAAGGAAATGCGGACTGCACAATAATTGTGCGACCGCAGAAATCAGCTACGCGGCAGCACTTAGAAATGTGCGGTCCGCACAAGAGCCCTGTGCAGCCGCATGAAGAATTATGCAGACCTCAGAACATGAGAGATGCGGCTGCATTTCAGAATTGTGCGGCCATAGATTCAACTCCTGTCAAAACTGAAGCAAAGTGCGGAACCCATATGGAATTGTGTGGCCGTAGAACCTCCGAAAGGGTATTTTGTACGAAAATTCTAGCTTTGTATAAATAGGATAGTTTCACAAAATTAGGTCAAGTTTTGAATATTCAAAGTGTTGTAGCCGTTTTTCCTTGCTTCTTTAGGCAATTTTAGCTCATTTTGGTGATTCAATATTGGATTTTTATATTTTAAGCTTTCAATAAGAGTTTTATCATCTTTTCTTCTTTAATTTCTTCTATACCCACTATGAGTAGCTAGATTCTCACTAGGGTTGTGACCCAACCCTAGAGTGTAAACTTAACGGATGTTTGATTTTTGGCTTGTTTATGGGTTGATGTTCATTATTTAGCTTTGTTCTTGCTTTTAATTATAGAATTAATGGTTGCAAACATAAGTTCATGCCTATTTGACTTGGTCTCTACTTAAGAAAGAGAGATTTAGTCTAGAAAAACTTGGCTAACAAGAATTTGGGACAAACTCAAGAGATTGATCGTTCCAATTAAAGGGTTGAACCTAGAGATAGTAAAACCCGACTTGAGCATTTTATCAGCTATTTTGTTCAGTACCCATTTGGACTTGAGAAAGTCAAATTGGGAAAAATCACTCTCTTATCTAGAAGTATTGAGTGGGTATGTGAGCGTTGATAGCTATAATACACCTCAACCAATGAAACAAGCTTTAAAGTTTACAACCCATTAGGCAAACACCTAGGTAAAGATTATAGCCCTAGGCCTTTTACATTATTTGAAAACAACAACAAAAATAATTTCTTAGTTTTAATTATTTATCTTGCAATCTTAGTATAAATTAGACCTAGAATCAACCAAATTTTGTGGAAGTGTAATTTAAGATAGTTCAAGCTCATTCACCACAATATATACTTCTAAATCTCATTCATATAGCTCCTTGTGGAATTCGACCCCGACTCTCTATTGGGTATTACTATTGCATCGACCGTTTTATAACCTCAAATAGAGGTGTGACTTTGATGAGATTAATTTTTGGCACCGTTGCAGGGGAAGCTAAAAATGGATTTAGCTATATATTTGGTTTTGTGTGTGAATTGTCTTCTTTTCCTTCCATGTTATTAATCTTTTTTGTGAAATAATTATAGGTGAAACAATGGCTCTCAACAACAGTGATCCTCTTAGAAACATTCCTATAGGGGATGTGGACGTGGAAGATGAGTAAGTTGAAGAGGTTCCTCTTGAACCTCAAGCAAATAGATGAGGCCGACCGCCTTAAGAAAACGTTCCCGTTCCACCCCCACCTCCACCAAGAGGGGCTCCACACTGTGTGTTGCCGAATGAAGGGTATGCAAGTGCCATAGTCCCGCCCTGCATTAGGGCGGGCAACTTTCAAATAACAAATGTTATGCTCACATTGCTAGAGCAACGGGGATTCTTCACCGGGGCTTCGAATCAAAATGCATACAGACACTTGAAGGGGTTTGTGGACACTTGTTGGGAGTAAACAGACAAACGTCTCCAAGGATGCTTTGAGGTTGACGCTATTTCCTTTCTCTTTACGGGGGAAAGCCTTGGATTGGTTAGAGAGATTGCCAAACCATTCTATCCATGCATGAGATGAATTGGCGGAGAAATTTATTTCCAATGTCTTTTCTCCTGGGCATATGGCTACTCTTAGAGACGAGATTCTAGTAATCAAACAAGAACCCAATGAGCTGTTGCATGAAATATAGGAGAGGTACCGAAATATGATGAAAGATTGCCCAAACAATGACATGACGGAGGCTATGATTCAACAAACTTTCTATCGGAGGATCAATACTACCAATCAATGCGTGGTCAACCA